CTTGAGTGAAAAATTATGTGTGTTCTTCCAATGGAATCATATTCTTCATTAAAAATAAAATCTATAGCTGGATGCGGTGGTGCACCCCTATAATCCCAGCAGCTTGGGAGGCTGAGGCAGGAAGATTACAAGTTCACATACAGGCTCCGCAATTTAGTGAGACCCTGAGCAATTCAGTGAGACCCTGTCACTGAGGATGTGCTGGGGATGCAGATCAGTGTTTAGTGACCCTGAGATCAATACCTGGTACCAAAAACAAAAAACAAAAAAAAAACAAGCTCTAATTAAATGAAGATCTCATTTTTTCCCAATTCTACTTCCCCAAATTCCTTTGAAAAAGAAAATTTGAAATCGATCCAGTTCAACATTATAATAATCAATGTTATTCCCTTAAATCATGTTTCTATCTTAATTAAGAGCTAATCTGCCATCAGAAAGGACAGAGTCACTGAAGCCCTTCTAATCACAAGCCCTCATCATCAGTGGCTCATTCATATTTATTTAGTTTTTTGAGCATATCAACTCAAATTTCAGACTAGGTACTGCATTTCTTCCAAGCTCTATTTCTCAAATTGTGACAGCAATAAAAATTCTGTCATCAATGCTGAACAACCGTAACTATATAAAAGCATCCACTGTCTCGTGAATAAAATTCATTCCTTTTTAAAAATAGTATTTTATTTTTGGCATTCCTAGTTGCTGACTACATCAAATTGGTTGGCACAAACATCAATCAAGCATTCATTTATTGTACAAATTATTATTGAGTTCCTTGTATAGTGGAAGGAGACTTGACTCTGTAAATAGACTTAACTGGGTTCATATTTTATCCCCATATTTTAATAGTTTTGGGACACTGGGCAAGTAAGTAACCTAACTTCTTTCATCCAATGTTTCTACTATGACAATTGGGGATTAAAATTACATATCTGATGAAAGATGTTGTGAAGATTAAATAACTTTTAAAACACACAGAGATATACTAGTGTTCAACAAATGTTGTTTTTTCCATGTAAGAATGCACTATTGAGCTTAAAGACATCATAAGACATATATCTCCATCTAGAAGAAACTTACAAGCTAAAGAAGAGGTGAAATTTTAGAAAAAATTATGAGATGAAAAAAAATGATGGGTTATAAGAAAAATAAAGAATGCTACTATGGGTCAAATGAAGATCATATCTTCTTAGAGTGTTGGGACACAGACATTTAAAAGCAAGAATTCAGAGTAGAAGATACAAAGGACATTCCAAACAAAAGGGAAACTAAGACAAAAGTGGATGTAGAGGAGGAGTAGGAGCTAATGCTTCTGACAATAATCAAGGTGATAATAAAAATTGTCATCAACACTGAATAATCATAACTATATAAAAGCATTCATTGTCTTGTGCGTAAAATTCATTCCTTAAAAAAACAGTATCGAGGGCTGGGGATGTGGCTTAAGCAGTAGCGCGCTCGCTTGGCAAGCATGCGGCCCGGGTTCAATCCTCAGCACTATATACAAACAAAGATGTTGTGTCCTCCGAAAACTAAAAAATAAATACTAAAATTCTCTCTCTCTCTCTCTCTAAAAAAAATAATAGTATCAAATTGGTTGACACAAAATCAATTAAGCAATCATTTATTTTACAAGTGAATATTGTTTTCTGTATTTCTTTTTTTTTAGAAAGTAGAGCAGGTAGTTGGGTGTGGTGTCATGTCTGTACAGTCAACTACTTGGGAGAATTACAGAGCCAACCTTCCTTGCACTGACAAAAACTGATGTCCAATATCCACTTATTCTTACTTTTTCATGCATTTGCTGAGCTCTGTATATGTATTAACTACTTTAATCCTCATAACAATCCTAGGAGGAAAATGAAATGCAAGGTGCTACTTAAACTGAGATTCTTGAACAAGATACTTAATAGACATGACACTTAACATTATGATCAGGTTCACAGAGCTAGCAAGTTGGCAACGTAAGGATTCAAACTCAGACAATCTGTCTGCAATCTATCCATTTGCCAAACAAACAAAGAACACAGGCATATAAAGCCTAGGATGAAACAACAATAAACCCTGTCACAAATTAGTAACTTTGACCATAAATCAATGAATATTTATTGTATTCTAATCATTTCTTATTTAACAACAAAGGCAGAACTCTTTCTACATAATTTAAGTATCAATTATACATTATGTTTTTAAATCATTTCATTAAGACTAACTATTAATTTGGGAATCCCAGGAGACATTTACTACAAGGTATCAAACATGTACACCCATATAATAAAATATATTTGCAAGGTGAAATTTCTCTGATGTTTTAGTTGACTATAAAGAAATAAACTTGAGAAAGAAAGAAAGTATAAGAAAGGGAGTAAAAAAGGGAAAAATTAAAATAAAAAATATCTGTCAGTTATCCACTGGATGATAGAGTAATTTTGTAGAGAAATATTAGAAGACATGAGGGATTGTATTCCTGGCTCACTTCTGTCACTTATGTATACTCAAACAAATCTCTGGACCTTCTAGAAGAACAGTAGAGTTCTGAGATTCTATGGTTCTCATTTGATGATCATTCACAATTGCATTAACTCAAGAATCCTGAAATTGTTACCCCATCAAAACAAATGACTTCATATGGCACTTCATTATAGATGTGACACCTAAATAACTGTTTCATGTGTCTTTTGGGAGACATTTTGTATTTCTAGTGTATGACTGACCTTGATAAGTGAAAAAGCACCTAAAACACCCTCTGATTCCACTAAACTGTTGATGTTCTTGAACAAAGATAGAAACTACAGCCAAAGAATAGAAACATCATCCTTTCCATTCAAAGCAACAGCCATTTTCTCCTCCACAATGTAATCCTATTTCTAATGCTCCATAGTACTAAATTTACCAAAATTTGCATGAGATCTTTTAAATTTATCATATGCCTGCATTAAAAAGACAATCTTGCTGGGGCTGTAGCTCAGTGGTAGAGCACCTGCCTCGCACATGTGAGGCACAGGGTTCAATCCTCAGCATTACCTAAAAATAAATAAATAAATAAAGATATTGTGTCCATCTACAACTAAAAAAAAAAAATTAAAAAAAGACAATCTCAACTCCTGTCCTACAAAACACAGTATCATTTAGTTAAAACAACTTCCAATGAAATAATAAAAGAAATCATTTAACAATAGGACTCAGTCTTAACTAAATTAAAACTTAAAAGATTGTTCTTGGATGTGTGAATGATATTGAAAATATTTTTAAAAGGGACTGTAGTTCATTTAAGAATCAAGAAAGTATTTTAAACACGATCTGTTTGAACATTACAACTTACCTTCATTATCAGAGTGCCTTTTAACTGCTTTCATTTCTCATTTTGCAATTATACAGTCAATATCAATAAACCAAAATGAAATGCATAAGGAATCATAATATAAAAGTTAATTTTTTCAAACAGTTATCAAAAATTTAATATAAATTTTCCCTGTTTCAAAATAAACCTTTCAAAGATTGAAATGATTTAGGATACACAAAAATTACAGCTTAATAAAGTGAAATTGGGGGAAAGAAAGATGTTTATTATCAGTATTATAAGTACATTAAATTATATGTAAATATACTCCAATACAACATCTCTAACCCTGAATCATAAATCCTAACATCTAAGAACTGATTATACACTTTATGAGTAAATACTAGAGCATCTGGTAAAGAATAAAACCTTAAAATAATGCTGTAAAATAAGTGTCAATAAATTAAGCAAGAAGCCATTTTTAACATGTATTCAAATGGTTACAAATCAAAATAAAAATTTTATAGAAAAAAATAGTAAAGCATTTGGGAACTTTTTACAAAGTGAAAATATATGATTAAAAACAGGCTTAGCATTTTAAAATTTTTCAAGCATTATGATTATAATAACTTCAAATTATTAGCCTATGTTATTTCAAGAAACTCCTTAAGAACAATTAGTTGTGATGCTCTACCCTCCCTCCCCACACAAACACCAAGAAAATCTAATAGTGTCTTTTCTTTTAACTCCACTAGAGGGTAGTGTCTCAAAACCAGGGCTGGAGTCCTGAATCTAGCCTGCTTTTGACCTGTTGACAAATTAATCCTCATGTTCCATCTTCTCAACATTTCTCTAGTATACTAATAAAAGCTGTAAAATGTGTTTTTAAAACTTCTGTCCATTTTTTTCAAAGTATTCTTTGAGACATACACACTGCTATACTTTTCTCTGTTTTCCAAATTCCTGATACACCTAAATCACATTTGTTTGTGTTTCATATAGGATATATTCCTGATAAATAGCTATTTAAAGATAATAGGCCTACAAGTAAGGAAAAATCATTTTGAGTATTTAGTTTATTATAGAGAAATATATCCACTGGAATAGTAAATTCATGTGTCCTAAACACACACATACACACACACACACACACACACACACACACACGAGAAGTATGTGGATATAACTGAAAATATAACTTTAAAATTACCCCCCTTCCATACCAATGTTGTGAATTATAGAGAAGAAAATATATGCTTTATTTTTAAAGTCTTGTCATTCCAAATATGAAATGTCATTGCTTATAATAAAAAAAGAAGAAAAGAAAGGAAAAAAAGAATATGCTATTGTACAGCAAATATACAATCTAAATTGAGTAGGAACTATAGAGAACCAAATACCACTCCAGTTTCAGGCACAGAGAAGGAGTCAGATGCTTGAGTCTTTAGCAGGGTTTTTAATATTTGGGAAATCCTTATTAGTAGAATGCCCTGCCTATCTTCAAAGTGAGAACACAGCTTCTCTGAATGACTGATAACACAAAAATAGAAAAACTTGTTCAAAAAAAGGGGGGGGGGGAGAAATCTCTACATTCCCTGAAGGAAAAAAGAAAGAAAATGACTCCTAGGAAAATATGCAAGCCTGTTTCATTTATTTGTACCCTAAGCAGCAGTGTCATAGAACAGACAGGTTGCTTCAGCCAACCAGACTGGAGCAGCTGCGAGTGCTACATCTTGGCAGTCTGAAGCGATTGGCTCCTCTCTGGGGAGTGGAGGGTGTTCAGTTATTAATGACTGCTGAGCAGGCAGCACCATGTCAGTGTGACAACTGATCGGGTGAACGATGCACCACTAACCACCATGGAAACAAGGAGAAATAACGCCAGCTCACAGGATCTCCCTGCACTGGATTGAGAGCCTCAGCTGCCGACCAGGAGAGTTACAGGCAAGAGAAGGAATCTGAGCTGCAGCCTCCTGCCTTCCTTATATTTTAGGACACAGATATAAGATTGCTTGCATGTGTGCATATCTTTGATACATATTTGTGTATACTTTATCACACACACACATATGCACCGATTTATACCCGGGAAAGAAGACAACCATGTGATTATCTGAATCAAGGAACTAAGGAATTCAGCACGCAGGGACACTGTATGTGGTCTAGCACTGAAACTGCTTTTGCAAGGTAAGTTTAAAATATACATATCTATTTAAATAAGCTCTATTTCTTGTTTCATTGGTGCTCCTATTTTTATGTCTAAATTCTCCCTTGAGGTTTTCTTGTTGTCTGAATCCTGAGAGCATTTTCTCTGTTTTACTTTTGAGAAGAAATTCACATGCAAAACCCCTCTGGATCTGTATATGCCTATCTGTGCTTGTGGGATTCTCCAACATGCATTTTACTAGCTTGAATGCCCATCAGAGGATGTGAGTGGGAGAGAAAAAGCAGTGTTTGGGGAGGAGAAGGAGGAGGGAGACAGAAGAGAAGGGGTCTGGAAGAGAGGAGAGAAAGAGAGAAGTGGGAGAGAGGAAGAAGGAGACAAACAGAGAACCAGGGACAGGAGAAAAAGAAACACAGGTTGTGGAGGGTGGGTAGTAGGATTTTTCTTTTTCTTCATATTATTTGTAATGGAAAGCAGATCAACATTATTCTGTGTTTTGCAACCACCTCCCCCCATCCCAAATAGGACATTTTTGTTCCTTTTTTCCCAGTGGATGGAGATTAAGGAGAATGCTCTTATATGTATGTTAAGAGGAAAAACCACTAACCAGAGTAGCAGAATGAGCATATCAAAAACATTTATTGAATTTCTGCCAGACTACATCTTACAAACTGGAGTAAATGAGTTCCCTTTAATAACATCCCCCTCACTGGTCTGAAGGGACAGTGCAAATGTCTGATTGCTAACGCAGCTGGAACTGCCACACACTAGGTAAAAGGATCCCAGGAACCAGAAGAGTTCTAATCTTCTTTGGTAATTAACAGGATCACAGCAGGATGGCTTTAAAGTACATTTCCTATTTAAGAAGATTGTTTGTTCTAACCAAGTGCAATATTCCCTTTGCTGTTATTGAGTTGGATGGCTTAATTCAGCTCTAATTTATTCATTTTTAACAATATGTCCTTGTTTCCATGCATCTAATTTTATTGAAAGCAGACTATGAGTATGAGTAGAACCTTCCTGATTTAGTAAAAAGGAACAATGTGAAAAATGAAAAGGGAAGAAGAATCAAAATATCTACCAAGAAAAGAGTGTGCCCTGGTACTACAATTACTCATATCCTAAATTTCTTATCTTTAGTTCCAGAAGTAATGCCTTTGAGACAGAATTACTCTCAGTAAACTCTATGAGCATCCAAGTGGTGATGATGATTCATGGAATACAACATGGGCTAATTTTTACTTCCAGTCTTGTAAAAGGAGTCAGCTACATAGAATATGCTTTCAAACAGACAACACCAATTGAGGATGTTCATGGAAACATTCACTACTCCCATTAATGGGTCCTGCACAGACATTAAAACAAACCCAGTATTTACATTTCATCTTCTGGAACTCTCTTCTCCTTTCCTCTAGTTCAACTAACCAAACACTTAATAGAGTCTGCTTCTTTGAAACTGTGTTATTTTTTTTCCTAAACTGTGATTTCACAGTTATTATTGGTTTCTAGTTTATAACATATGCCAAAACCAAAAGACAATAAGCCACTTACATCCTGCCACTTTCCCATAAATGTGTCAAAAAATGAGTCAGTTTACAATATATAATGTAAGAAGTCAATTAATTCTGGCGACCTTTGTAAATGATGACAATAAAACATCTCTGACAATCTGCCAGAGGCTTCGATTTTCCCTCTGTAAAATGAACAAGTTTAAGAAGAGGGTTCCTGCTCAGGGTGAAAAATGAAAGGTGCTGAAGCATTAGCTTGCAATATTGGCAGGCTTGCTCGCTCTGCCTCAAACACCACATGCAATCTATAGAAAAAACAAAATGATTTATTGCAAAGAAAAGGTGTTTTTATTTGCTTTTCTGCTATTCATTAGAAGTGCTGCTTTTGAAACAGATCAGATCTGTTATTTTGAGGCAGCCGTTAAGTTCCTAACCAAGAGGAATGGTTGAAGTAGACATTCTACCTCCCAATTTCAAACTCCTATATAATGTAGCATTGCAGCATTGATTTCAGTTTCTCCTAGACCTTTCACGGGGAAAGTTTTCATACTAAACACACACATTCTAAAATCTTACCCAGCCTATTTTAAAATTGCAATCAGTGACAGCTAAGTACAAGGGATTGGCTCTTTAACCTTAGTAGAGCTCAGATAAATATTATGTGGGTTTTAGAAGTCAGTAATGTGCCCTAGAATCTGAAAAACACTGTCACCCAGGCCCCTAGTGTTGTCATTTGGTGTGTGCCCGTGAGTTTGGTGACTTAGTAAGCCTTTCCAGAGGATGGACACACAGGCATGTCTGAAAGATTTAACCATGCCCAGTCGTGTAGAAATAAAGAAATAATAGCTTTCTGTCAAGAGGAGCTTCAAAGAACCATCTTTTCAGGGTGTTGCTTGTCACAGGCAACATGCTGAGGTAGAATGCTGATGAGTAGGTGGAATTTTTCCTTTGGTGGTGGTAGTGGTTGTTAACAGTTTAATAAATAGTGTAACCAGCTTTCTAAACTAGCAATTTGAGGACCTATGAAAAAGGTGATTAACTTATGATTCACTATGTGCATTTTACTGTTTCTTTGTTCATCTTTTAACATTTGCTTTTGCACAAAATGGGTTTGATGTTGAACTTTTTCCCCTACTCTGATATTTTTTTGAGTGTAAAATTCCTAGGTAACATTATATTTATTGAAAACTTAGTTGAACAGAAAGGTCAGTAACTTGAGTTAACCATAACAACAAAAAATTAAATGCTGTAACCCAATTAGCAGTCCCTGATGGCTGTATATGAGGTTGGTGATTCAGAAGGAGATTATTAAAAGGAAGCTTATGGCACACTAAAAATGGAGGCAAAAATCCTAGCCTCAGTAAAGATGCTCCCAAAGAATAATTTACAAGTATGTGGCTCTAGCCATTCTGGAGAAACACTGGACATGTTTGCAATCCACTAAAATATTCCATGCAGACCTGGTTCCAAGTGTAAGCTACTTATGTATTGCTCATTGGTACATGAAACTAAATGAAGTAGCTAACACTAGGCCATATATCAGTATATCTAATCAATGTTGTCAATACTCTCTGATACTGGCTATGACGAGTTCTTAGGAAACCTTCACTATGTAACAACAGAACACATTTCTTACACGGAGCTCAAAGAATTCTTCCCCATCCCTCGTGGTAAAGTGATATTCAGCAAGTCACTAGAAGAATATAATAGCAGTTATTCCCTTGGCCATAATGTCTGAGGAAATAAAAATTTAATATAAAGAAAGTAGGTGGTGCCAGAGGATGGGAAACAATAATAGGGAGAAATCAAATTGTTTAACTTGATGGGAAGGGAAGAAGACCTGAAAAGATGCTACTTAGAGGTCAATAAATATAAGATTAACAAAGAAGATTTAATGCTCCTCTCAATTCTTTGGAAGAACAGCACCTACCAGGTCATCTACAATATCTGTGTAACTGTCAAGTTTCTACAAATCTGTTTGCTATGATGTTCACTCTTTTAAGGCCATAAGGGAGGGTTATTTTTTTTTAAGTCACCATGAATAAAAATACAATACACAGCTTCAGCATAGGGGAATAAAAGATGGGTAAGAGCTAGCATAGAATAATGTAATTTTTTTTAAATTGAAAGTGACCTTCAGTATTTAGTCTAACAAGTTCAGTGTGATGGGTAAAGAAACTCAAGTACAAAAGATTTAAGATCTTTATAATGTAATATGTATTATATTTTAAATATACACAGCCATTTACTAGAGAGGCCTAGGATAGAACTCCTTAGAGTGCTCCCTCCAGCAGTAAATTAAAAGTCTGCGTCCTCTGTTTTTCATATAATAAAATGTAAAAGAAAGACTCAGAAATATGGGGCAAAAAAGAAAAAAATATTCAGCAAGATAGTCAAGTATTCTAGAAGCAAAAACCAAAATTTAATAAAAGAAGAAGCAAGAATTTTTTAAGTATATATCACAAATATTTTAAACCCTTAATTTATCTTCTTGATCCAGTCCACTTTATTCTAGAATGAGTCATAAACATTAGAGTTTTGCACTGTTTTTAAAACATCCTAACAGTAATGCTGCTATCCTTCAACTAGAGAGATTCAGCCAATTGATCATTTATTCTAGTTGTAAGTTTTTCTAAGAATTCTGAAAATATGCTCCACATTATTTTTTACTTGTTTTCACTGGAATTACTTTAAGGCATTTAGCATGCACCCTTCTTCATATTCAGTGCCCATTCTTACAACTGGTGCTTGGCTTGCTTACCTCTTTGGAAAATAAGGAGTGTATTCTCAGGATAGCAACCCCTTCCTTCTTTCACCCCCCAAACTCCCCACCCTGCCTTTTTCATTTCCAGAGTTAGAGTGTGAGAGGCTTTGTAGGCAATAGCACCTCTTTAATTTCAAAGACCTATTTTTTTTTTTTTTGGCAAATTTATCTCTGCTTCTAAATGTGTTCTCCAATAACATAACAGTAATTAATGGACTCAAAAAATTCAGGGGGAAATTAAGAATAAAAAAAACCACAGTAATGAGAATATTTATTTAGAGCTCTATTGTATACAAAGTTTTTTTTCCAACAATACCATTTGTTCCTTAAAACAACCTGGTGAGGTAGGATAGGTAAGTGATGATTATCCTTTCCTTCAAATTGGAGAATGAGTTTGTGTAAGATAAGAGACTTGCCAACATGTAGAGGAATTAGGATATTCTGACTTCAGGGAGTAGGAGATAGAATGGGTACAGCACTGATCACTATGGGTACAGCACTGATCACATTTCAGTAATCATTAGTAAATATCCCTTCCCTTCTTCTTGAATTCTCACACAAGGCTTTATCTTTTTAAGTCCTGTATTCTTTGTACAACACCACAATATTTCCAGGTGGATTTTTTGCAAACTAAAATTTTCATTTCTTAATTTAAATCATAGCTAATTCTATACCCAAATTAAAAAGAAAAAAAAACCCAACAGCCAGAATAAATTATTAGAGAAAAAGATTGTACATTTTTCTACCTACT